GCTTGGGCACTATGGCTGAAATCGGGTGTGATCCGGCATCACTGTGAACCTGCACTTACTTGGAATTTTGTTTTCAACGCCTGCTGCCTTCCTTGGATAGTGACCTCTCAGCTTTCGGGGTCGGCGGCACTGGCGGCAGCCCGTAAATATATTTTGATATGGTGGATTTTGATCGTGTTTCCCGAGGCTGCGGCACATCCTCCAAGACCTCCTTCTTCTTTTCCTCGAAAGCTCGGGAAGCAGCACTCCGTAAATTCAGACTGGCAGCAGATCCGCCTCGATGGTCCGCAAATGCTTTTTGCAGTTGTTTGGCAGAGGCGAGAGCTTCACCTGTACATAAGAACGAATCTTCAAGGTCCTCTGGCGAAGGATGAAGGGCAGGGAGGAGGGCATGCGCTCACGGGATGAAGCAGCTCGAAGAGCATGAAGCTGTCAGACCACATCGGGCTCCGTCTCCCGGCCTTCAGCCTGAACATGACCTTCCTCGCATCGAACAGCGGTCCCTGCAAGAAGGAACGGTCTCAGCAATCCTGACTTGTTTCGACAGTGCGTGAAGTTTTGGTGAATGAAGCACGGAAGAACAGAGAGCAGAATCGCTATCCAGGGGAGAACATGAGAAGCTTCCATGGAGCAGGCACATGACACCGAGTAAGGACATGTGCGCTCTCTTTCTCTTCACAGCTGCTAACCCACGGCTCGGTGGCGCCTTGCTGGCATTCCGGATCTCCTCCATGACGGTTTTCATGATCTTGGCTTCGCCCTGCGGCACCCAATGCAGCGGTCGTGACATGCAACGAGCTCTGAACGCCAACAAGCACCCGAAAAACCACCTTGATACCGTACTTACAACAACTTGTGTTGAGCTCGTCCTCCTGGCATGCTTCGACCGCCGACTGCAGCTCTTTTTCCGCTTGTTCTAACGCCTAGCAAGCAGGTTGCACGCGAGATTCTGCCGGGGCCCAACGCAGAACCCGCTTGATCTGATGGCTTTTGCCGCGGTGCCTGCAGCGAACCGGCCGAGCTCGCACCCGTTCCCGTACAGTTGCCTTGCAGCTCTGGGTCTCTCTCAGACACACCGAACTCCTCAAGCTGAGATGGGGCCGCAATTGAGCCCAGCACTCAATACGCTGGTAGCTTCCTCACAGGCTGCTGTGACCTTCAAAGCAACCCAGAAGTTGGGAGCGCGCCGACTGTGCTCACAGACCAAAGAAAGCGTGGCTGCTCAGGTGTGATGTGGAGACTTCCCTCAGTTTCATACAATTCACACCCATGCGGTCGGCCTTGGCGATCAGATCGTCCACCATGGAGGATGCCTCGCCTCGTGCCAACCAAAACATATGCCAACGGCAAGGGGGGACGCTCATCTTTCGGTTGCTGCTTCAGATGTAGCCTGTGATGGTGTCAGCAGTTATCTTCTCCTCCGATTGTTGCCGCTTCTTCTTGAGCGCCTGGTTTCGACAAGTTGAACTCTGCACCGCTCTGGAAGCGTAGCTCCAAACGCTGCAGGCCTCTAGCTGCCGTTCGTGCCTGTTCTTGGCCTTGCACCGGGGCCACGAGCCATCCAAGTGCTCAGGCGCTGAACCTGCCCAACCTCGGCAACCTTGTTCTTCACATCGCTGTGGGCAACCTGCGCCTGTAGGAGGCTCGAAGCTGGCCAGACCCCCGCAGCAGCCGGAGTTCGACTGAGCTGGCCACGCGGGTTCCTCGCACCTGCCATCAGCATCAGGTCGAGACTTGCAAGGCACAACACCAGCCGCAGCAACTTCTCTGTAAGCATTGCGTGCCCTCAGGTTCTGGAGCTGCTCCTTCAAGTCCTGCAGCGCAGCTGCGCCGCCTTAAGCATGCGCAGCTTGCAGCGACCCCGTGCCTAATGCTTTTATTGCACTGTTACTCTTACACCAGCTCGTCAAGGCGATTTTGGGCCCCAGGCGGGTACTTCGCAGCTCATCGTGCTTCTGCTTGAGATAGGCCACGGTTTGGCTCACCTAGGTTTTGGCATATTAGGAATACTCCAGAAGCTGCTGCCTGCACTTACTCTGTGTCTGGCCGACTCGTACGAGTCTGCGAGGGCCTCTTCTGCCGTCCTCACCTCGGCTCTCAGGAATGTGGCCCAAATGCCCGAAGCAAGTTAAGAACGGCTAAGACTATCCTGAGCCACGGGCACAAGCCATGAAGGGCGTGTAGACCTTGAATCGATCATAAGCTGGCTTGAGAACCTCATCAACTGCAGGCCATCTGGACCCGTGCCTCCAAGTAAGTAGTGCCACCGGAGCCAGCAACGGTTACGAAACCTGCACGCAAAGCAGCAGTCGGCGCTGAAATGATCTGGGTCTCTCTGTGCTGGCCTTGGGCATCGTCCTTGGCCTTGCACTCGACCTTGGATTTGCGCATGAACTACCCATGTGCGGTTTTTCCATGCTGCCCATGAAGCATAAGCCAAACTCTGGACGGCTGCATTGCGGCTCATCGAACTCTAGACTCTAGAAATATCATGCCTTCTTGACCTGTGCTCCTGCTACTGTGCCAAGTACAGCCCGCCCCAGACTGACCAAGTGCTAGGGCCCCAAGCCTTAAACCTAAAACCCGAAAAGACACGCCTAAGCCTTAATCCCAAACCCCAAAAAGTCCCCGACACCGTATCCGCTGTAGCACGAGCCCCTTTTGCGGCCAAACTGCGCGAACCAGGCCACTCTGTGGCTCGCGTCGTGCAACCCCCAGGGCCTCCAAGACCTGTCTCCCATAGCTTGGAAGTGACTCATCATAGAGCAGAATATTTAAAAAATAACACGACATAGGATAGTATAGCAAGATACGTGTGAAGATGCTGTATATCGTTCTTGAAACTCTGGATACTTTATGTAGAAGTCTTTGAAGTAAGGATCCTACTGCTGACGGTCTGTATGGCGGCAGGGCGCACTGCTCGTCCTGCATCACGGGACCATGCACCCGCGATCGAATGAAACCTAACCACAAGACTCTCAAGTGGTTGGACTCCCACCAGGGAGCACAAGTCAGGTCTAAGTACATAAAAGTAGCACTTTTGTTGAAGAATGGGAACAATAATTACATTCGTGGTCCCCTGCATCGGGGTGGCTGTGCAAGTCCGGTAGACGTCTTTGCTGATGAGTCAGCCTTCCAGAACTATACACTCGTGGCTGACTCAGCCTGAGCCCCAAGCCCTCAATCCCAAACCCAAAACCCTACACCCTTGTAGGGTCTCGTGGGCATAATTTGGGATTCGACAACGGTTGAAGAGTTGGAGTTACAAAAAAGTCTGTCTCCCGCCTGGATTTCAACAACCAATACTCCACACCCACCGGACTGCAAAGAGCCTCGTTCACCTCGAGCTTCCGGACTGTCGTGCTGCCGACCTTTGACAACATGTCGATGCAAATACATCGTGTATATCTATGTATGTATATATATATATACATATGTATGTATGTATGTGTGATTATATATGTAGACATGCATATACACACATATATATATATATGCATCTACATCTACATCTGCATACACATATACATGCACATATACAAACACATATACATACACGCACATACATGTACAGACACATGTACAGATACATGTATACATACATGTACTTACACATGTACATACACAGTTACATATACATCACATACACACACATATATATATATCCATAATGAGCACTTAGAAGGAGAGCGAGAGAGAGAGAGAGAGAGAGAGAGAGAGAGATGTGTGTGCGTGTGAACTCATACACTGTGTGCAGGCAGGCCAAGCAAACTATGTTTTATGTGAGAGAAGTGTGCGCATCTCGTTTAGCCGCATGAAGCTCAGCCAGAGGCTTCTCGTTCAGATGTCATCGTCACGACCTGCACCTGAAAAACTCAAGACTCCAGGCTAGAAGCTCAATAGTAATTTTAGGAAATGAAGGGACCCAGACAAAGGACCCTAAATAGCAGGATCAACCCGCAAAGAGCGATCCCAATGTTCTGAAGGCACTGCATGAAGACTGCAACGTTATCTTTGACTTGGAAGCTGGATTTCTTTGTCTTCGTCTGTAAGGTGCGGACACAGAGGTACGAGAGCTTCATATGCTCTTCGAACCTTAGTCGCGTGCAGCGCCCCGGCATCTGAGTCACTAGTTCTTTCGCTGCTGGTTCTTCCTATGGCTGTTGACAACGTGGTGGCTACGAGTATTGTCTAGCTGGCTCTTGCTGCCGCTCAAATTGCTCAAACACTCTAACCAGATTTCGCCACATCGTGCTGCAAGTGAAGCATGGCTTCGCCATTTCTTAGTAGGTAAGCTCCCACAAGCCCCGAACTTCTCCGTGGAGATGCCGGAGTCCTGCGACCGTCATTCTGCTCTCGTCACAGCGGGACCATTTCCAACTTTTTGCAAGACAGGCCTCTGCAGAGGCCTCCACGTCCATCTGCGAAACTGCTGCTGGGAGAAGCTCTTGCTCCTGCCATTCTCGAAATGCTCGGGACAGGAACCAAAATACATGCCCTGCTGCCATGTTGTGAATGCTATGCGGAAGGACTTGGCCGGGGTCCGGTATGTGTTTTCACCCGCCGCCACCCCCCTCTTGACAAGTAGGTGCTGCATGTCCATAGGACATAAGCTCGGCACCATGCAGGCACAACAAACTGAACATTCAGCCCGAACCGGTGCTGCGCGCTCCCAAACCGAAGAGTCCTCCTCTGTACCGAGAAGGTCCGACAAGTCCTCGGCAACATACAAAACGAGACAGAGAGAAAGAGAGAGAGAGAGAGAGAGGCAGAAATCATGATGAAACGCAGACATGCCGTGCTGATTGCCCCGCACAGCAAATCAAGTGTCCCTTAACCCTAAACCCCTAAACCCCTAAACCCCTAAACCCTAAACCCTAAACCCTAAAGTGAAAGCTCAATGCTTGTAAGGACAGGTCCGGCAGCTCGGGCTGCAAAGACTTCAGGGCCGTCACGATTCCTGCATCAAACTTCGTGAGAAATCCACGCCGCACCATAATTCCGCAACATCCACTGTCAGGTAACCCTTAAACCCTAAGGCCCTAAGCCCCTAAACCTAAAAGCCCTAAACCCGAAACCCTACAAACTTTCAAACCCCGTTATTTTCCCGGGCACTCGAAACTAAACCGGTAAACACTTTTTTTGAGCAGGGACTGCAATGCACTAAGCCCTGAATCCCTTCAGCCAAGCTCCAGAAAATCTCTAAAGGCCCTAAACCTTCAGCACCAGTAACACGTTTTACCAACTCTCCGCACACCCTGCGGCGAACGGATCCTACCGGCATGAGGCGGTCGGAGCCGTCGCTCTCGCCGGAAGCTTTGGCCTGCAGCACTTTGGAGCCTACGCTCTCAGCCAGACGAGGTCTCTCGGTGCCCGCTCCCACTACGGGTGAGAACAGGGCAGTACAAACGGGATAGAGGTCGGGCTGGGAACAAGGGGGGGTTCATGGACGGTGTAGTTTTGGTTCAAAGCACGCCTCACAGTGGCCAGGCAGCATTGTGCCAAGACAGCTGGGATAACGAGCGCAAAGGTCAACAAGGGTTTTTTGCACGACCCGTTTTCCCCCCGCTACGTTCTCGAAAGAAAGGCGGTCCACAAGGGGTTTTAGGACTCAGGGTTTAGTTTGTTGCCTCCTGCACTGCTCAACGAGTCGCTAGCCAAAGAAGTTGGTAAGTCTCCAAGTTTCAGTCAAGTGAATTGGCATGCGTTGTCCCACTTCCAGGACAAAGACGATGGTCTTTTCCCTCTCGCATAAAGCCGACAGTTTTAGCGGTTAGGCTTAGTCAAAGTTAAAAAATGGGAAGCTGAGGTCGTTTCCAGTTCTGCAAACAGCGCCGAAGGAGTCTTGGAAGTTGCCGCTGCATGCCGTCGCAACCTGCTGGCTTTGGGGAACAATTCTAGGATTCGGCGAATCAGTACTTCCACCGAGCTGCGACACCTTGCGCAAAGAGTCCGAGACGCGTGCACTTCTAGCAAGTGGCCCAGGCGAACCAGTGCCTGCAACTCCTGGCACAAAGATTTTCTGAAGTACTCATGTCACTCATGTCTGTCGACTCGGGGTTTCTCTGACATTTGCGGCCACCTGCCCACCGCTGGCAGTGAACATCGTTGCAGCTTCGTGGAGCTTCTCCAACCTGCGCCGTGGCTCTGCTGGCCGCTCCATCCGCTCCAGAACCCGCATTCGCTTCCATTCTGTGCTGTTGCAGGCGAGGAACTTCGCATCGAGCACTTTGAACATCTCGCTTGCTTCCTGCATCCTGGCACTGGGATGTATTCACATCGAAGTCTCAACTTCAGACAGGAGCTCCTGGCGGCTGAAGTGCACATGCCACTCACGGGCAGTATGCTTTGAAAAGACATCGCGACTTAGCAAGCGTGTCGCGGCGGCAGGCAAGTCGCTACGAAGCGGTGCTCTTTGTCGTTGGCATCTTTCCTGCCAGCAACATCCACGCGTTTCGAAGAAGCACACGGGCCTGGGCCCCGGCCTCTGCTCGTCCAGCTTGGTCTGCAGGGGCGCGAGCTTCGCAAACATCTCCTCGGGAGCAGTGGGGCACCACAGACTCGAGGAGTGCTGTGTCCCAGGTTTCGCCTGAAACTCCTTCAGAACCTCGGAGGTGTCTGTGGTCACCTGAAGGAGTGACCAAGATATAAAAAAAGGGAGGGGGGCCGGTCTGCTCAGAGTAGGGTCGGAGGTATTTGCCGAGGCAAGGACCCCGTCGGCCTTGGCCTTCTGCAACCTGCGCTCCGCAGAGCACCGCAAGGAGCGGCAGAAGCGGCTCTTGCCGGCACTCTGGGAGCCCCACCGCTCGACCAAAGGGACGCGGGCAGCTTGGATCGCCGTCGTGGCCTCCCAAGAGGAAACCGCTAAACCACTAAACCCTAAATCCTAAACCCTGAACCCTAAACCCTGAACCCTAAACCCTAAAAAACTTGTCCATCGGTGACACCCGAAGCTCCAAGCGACCCGAAGAGCTGAGAGGCCTCTGTCTGTGCTGCGGCAGCTTTTGAGAGCACGGACTGCATCTGCAGGGGCTCGGCATCCTGCGCGGAGCCCTTCATCTCTCCAGGCGCTTGGATGGGTTTGGACTCTCGGGTTGGGGCTCCGAATCCCCAACTTGCATTTTCCATGCCCTAGGATCCTAGGATGGGGATAAACCCCGAACGGGGCCGCGCTCCGTCCTCAGGAAGGTCCATCAAGGCCTGAAAGGCTTCCTTCGAGGCTTCAACCTGTCGAGCCACTCCAATGGGGTACAGGAACGACTGCTCCTGCTCAGAAGTGCTTGCCCGGCCAGGGGACGATAGAGGATTCTCCGCCTTACCACCACTCTCCCCCTTCGCCCTGCTGGCGGCATGTCTGGACATTACGACCAGCTGCTTTCCACTGTCCGGGTAGCTCCGAAACAACAGGACCATTCATAAAGCCTACAAGCACTCTCACGGGCTCTCAGCTGGGCATGACTGACTCGCTCACGACAGCCTCCTCGCACGCTGCAATGTAGAGCATACAATCTCTATGCCTACAGCACAACAGGTCGCTCTGGTTGACAGTTGCTAGCTAGAGCGCGCCTGTTTCAAAGACCGCCCACCAACGGTCACAAACACATCGTTCAATTATAGCGCTTGCTCCTGGTCTGGTGGGCTCAGCCTGCTGAACGGGCATCTGTCCAGCTGCAGCTGCCTGGAGTTTGGCCTTTTTGCGGTGCAGCTTCTCCGAGCCAGGTGGTTTCTTGTAGCCCTGAGCCTTAAGTTGGGCCCGATACTTTCGAATCTGTGCCTGCTTTACAGGATCAAAGCCCGGCCGCTGCTCCTGGGCAACAAAGCCTTCTGTGGCACTGAGTCCCAGCCGTCCAGGTGGCATCCCTGGGCGGCAAGGCTTTCTGTGAAGCCGGTCGAGGGGCCCTCAGCTTGTTGGCAAACGACTGTCCCCTCCAGAGCAGCCATGAACACCTTAAATTTCGCTTCCACCTTCGCGTTGACGAGTGCAGAGACCTGCTCTGCGAGAACGCCATCGCCATCGAGGTGAGATTTGCGAGGATTCGTCTGAGCTCCAGATCTTGGCCACACCGTTTTTCAATGGTAGGCAGTGGCAGGCCCGGAGGAGGCAGCCAAGAGCCGATATCATCGCTTGACGTGGCCCCACCTCCGATGGTTGGCACGTATGGAGACGTGCTGCATGCCTTCTCAAATGCCATGGCCGACGGTAGCAACTCAGTAGCACTCGAATTCGATCGCACTCGTGTGCACCAGCGGCTCCTCGTGCTCGTTTGGCCGCACCAACTGCAGACTCCGCGGCATCGAGCTCTTCCCACTCGAAAATAACACTCGAAGGGCTGGGGTCCCTCAAGGCAAAAGGTTCCAGCCGATATATGAAGTTTGCGGCACGTCTTCCCCAAGTTTCGTCTGGAGCCCGAAAGCTTGTGCCACTGAATTCTTGCAATCAGGATTCCTAGATCCCTTAGCTTATCACGCGTGCTTTCGCTCAGCCTTTGCCATTCCCCTGACCTCCTCCCAATGGAGATTGGACACCCAAAGAAAGGAAACTGAAGAGTGCTCATCAGCGGACAACGTGGCCTTTGCTTCCGCCAGCTCGATACTTTGAGCCATGGCCTGTGACGGATGAAGCAGGCGAGGAGATTAGGGTAGAGTAGGGTTTAGACTCTCGCGAAGACTGCTGGCGAGGATGGTCGGAAAGCCAGGACGTTGGCAGCAAGCCGGCGGGGTGTTCGCTGACTCGCCAGCACGGCTAAGTTTAGGGGGACCCAACTATCAAGCCTAGGTATACGGTATACGTTTAGGCTTTAGGGAATCTCTGACACATGCACACACCTTTTCACGCGGGCGTGTCAGGGTTCTCGGCGCTCTGGTTGCTGTTGATGAAGTCGACATATCGTTCACACTGAGCAGGATCAGCCAGCAAACTGTCAAGATGAGTCATGGTCTGAATATCGGAATCCAGTCCTACTTCACTCTTGGGGCTGAAGAAAAGCAAATGCTTCGGGGCAACTTTGAAGCAATGACCATGCTGTACCAACCACAACGACAGCGCGTGGTCTACCTGCCCACCTACCGGGAAAGCTTCGTGCAAAAGCCTGGCAGCGGCCTCCTTCTTCACGGCCCATGCATAAAGCCCGTAGAGCGGGCTGTACATGCGAAGCACTGGCACCTCATCTGCCGGAATTGACCCCCTCTCCACGCAACCACGAAAGTCGTCTACAGGGCCCCGCATCTCGTCAATTTGAACTTCAAACAGAGCTCTCTGGTGCTCCTGCTCAGTGTCTTTTCCCCCAGGCCCATGTCCATCAAGGATGCCACCATGGTAGCCCAGAAACAAGGCATCCCAGTTGGAGGGCAAGCGTTGTACCGCCTTCTGGATCACGTCGTGAACGCCAGGCACCACTGCCTGCAGATCGTCTTCCATGATGAGTCCCCACTCGGCAGTCGGGTGTTCCGCGACCGTCCGCAAGGCCTTGTGGTGGGACATTGCACACGCAATGCCCCCAGCTGTCAAGTGATCATGGAATTTCACAAGCTCACCATCTTTATGTACGATCGTATGTGCGCCGATCCTTTGAGCCTCCTGGGCCACTTGGAGAGCCTCGGGCGTGATGTACTGTAGCATCTCTGGGCTCTCGAGGTCCAGCACCCGTCCGTCGATGGCATCAACTCGGAGGAGCCGTGACAGAATGGCCGGGTTCCCTTCAGCCAAGACATGAGCCAACTGTAGGCGTCGGTCTGCACGCCTGTTCAGGTTGATAAAGACGGCGCACCAGCTTTGTGGGATTTCCAGGCTGGGGCCAGGCTTTGTGACTTCGCGTCCACACCTTCGTGCAGCCGCCAGCGCCCTGAAGGCTCCGCAGCGGCGTGGCTTCCGAGCAGCCAAGGCAGATGCGATGTAGACGAAGGGCACTGCGTCCAGCCAGACCGGCCAGACGGGGCGAAGGCGAACACTCTCAACAAGCCGAAATCCAGGCCCGCTGCCATTCCATCGCACCCTCTCAGTCTGCTGGCATGCGAGCATGCTCACCCAGACTGAAAGAAGAGAGAACAAAAAGCGACAGACTCATGCAAGGGGATGCTTTGGATGCTCCTCCACCACTCTTGCACACTTGACTTGGATTTGTTGAGCCCTTAGTTCGGTCTTTTGGCTAGCATGGCAAAGCTTCCTATGCGGCTCGAATGGGCTGCAGCCACGAAGGAGTGCCACGCATCTCTCCGCAATTCAGACTGAAGTTCAGCTGGTGCACGCGGTGGCCCCGGCCTTTCTTGCCTTGGCATACTGCCTGTCAGTGCTTCCTCTGCGGACCTGATCGAGCAAAATCGCAGGCAACGGACGCCGAAACAGCTTCGAGGCCTACCGCTGCTTTGCCAGCGCTTGGAACTAGTGCACCATCTCATTTGTGGAGCTGGCAAACAAGGCGACAAACGTGCCTCAGCTAATCGCCGCATGGCCGCATCCAAGCGCTTTTGAAGCGCCTGCCGGCACATCAGTTTTAACTCATCAGGAGGCAAGCAGCCGCTCCATCGCCAATCAGTACGGAATGTGCTGTTTGGTGCGAGTTTCGTGGCCAGGCAAGCTCAACGACCATACTGAGAGTGTCGGATGCTCGGTGCGGCACATCCAGCTGCTCCAGGCACGCAGCCTGGCACTTTCTGTCAACCATTGTCAACTACGGCAGAGCACTCCGTGCATCTGCTCTATGATATGCATGTATGTTAAGACTGAACCACGCCCGGCTTTTTGCTGCCAGCTTCGAGACTGCTGATGGGCGCGATGCGGTCAAGTCGGAAGCTGGCCGCTGAAGGCCTCCTGGTGCCTTTGGGCCCTCAGCGGGGGCTGGCGCTGCATGTCGGGCTTCTGATGCACCTCTCGACGGTGACAGGAGCGGGGGCACTTCCTGACGAGCTTGGGAGGCCTCCATCTTGTCAGTACATGGGTCCCATGGGCATGGGTGCCATTCCTGGGCATGGGCCCATGGGCGGGATGGGCGGGGGCCTCTGCGCGAAGGGTGGAGGTGGAGGGGCGGGGGCAACGGGAAGATGTGCATGCTTGCAGGAGTCGCCATATCGGCACCATCCAGACTTCTGAAAGAAGCCGCAGATCTCCTTGGGCCCGGCATCTCGCATGCCAGGATTTCTGTCAAAGCCCTCGGCTGTCTTGGTCTCATTGAGCTCTGGCCCAGGAGAGACGAAGCTGGTCTCCACCATGATGGCTTGACTACAAACCTGAAGTACGAGAGGGGCATCACTGCATTCTAGAGAGAAAAGCTCGGATTGCTGTGTTCGACACCACTCAGCTCCGAGACTAGCACCGGCACGTTCGACCCGTCCAGGGGTGCCCGCGCAAAGGCTGCAGGCATCGATGCAAGGTAACAGTTGAAAGCGACGAAAGTACCTGACATCTCAGAATTACCGTCGAATCGACATGAGCCAGTCGCAAAGCCTGCGCGCCTGTCGTCAGGGTGACGGCCAAGGACGGGCTGACGTACACTGTACGCCCAAAGACTTGGTTGACCTGATGGCAACACAACTAGGAGGCCGCATAAGGCATAAATAGTATGCAAAGCTCCGGTCGGCGAGTGCCATGGCCGAAGAGGCTAATTTGCAGGTGTGCCTCGGCACACTCGATCAAACCAGCTTGTCGCCCACTCATGTCGGCAGGCAAGAGCTTGAAGTTGCCTTGCGCATCAAGCTGAAAGTTTTGCTTGCATGCCGAAGCCGGCAAGCAGGTGGAGCCAAGATGCCGGTATGCGCATAGCTACTCCTCGCTGATATGCCTGAACGCAACTGTGAGGTGTTCTGCAGGCTCAACTCTCGGCACGCATCGACGCCAGCTGAAGCAAGCGGCGGATCAGGGGCGAAGAAGCCTGGGGTTGTCCCTTTGGAGACCAGTGCAGAGGGAACGCCAGGGTGTCACCAACGCAGGCTTTGCCGCGCTCCAGGACATCTTTGAAAGCATAAATGTCTTGCTTGCCTATGTCGGCCTGCCCGATGAAAACAGTCAGCAAAAGGAACTGAAGAGTTGGTCACTTTGCTGAAACCGGCAGACTGCAGCCTCCGCATCTTGGGAGTGTATGTAGCCGCACTTTCGCTGGGCATCGAAATGCTTCAGTATGCCAGTGTAGACTTTCCTAGGCCCAGCTGACAAAACGAGCTTGCCGTGCAAGTGCTTCTTGCAAGGAGATCAGAAAGCTAAGCCGGCAGGTCTGCATCCATGCTTGCCTACAGTGCGGGAGGGAGAGAGAGGAACAGAAAGCGACAGAACGAGGGAGAGCGAGAGAGAGGAGAGACGGAGATCAAGGACAAACAGAGGTGAGGGAGAGGGAGGGCGCGCTGAGTCTCGTGGTGTTCGCCACAGTGCTCTTCTCCTGGTCGACGTTCCAACGGATGCTACGGTTGACACGAAAAGCAATCCGGACCTTCGAGTGGTCTTTCCATTGAAAGAGCTCAATGAATCTTCCACCGATCGTTTGCCTTTGCTTCTCCTGCTGCAAGGATTGATTCGATCACAACGAAATGAATGTTACAGCGACGCTGCAAGGAAGGGCAGCAGCAAAAGACGAATTTGTCCTGCATGGCCTTCTTTGCCACATCTCTACTCTGGAAGACTACCTGAAAGGGCAACTTTGGTGGGTTCTCGAGCAGGGCCCTGGTCTCTAGAACCCGTCAAAACTGATTTTTCCCTCTCGCATGGCTGAGGATCTATGCCCACAAGCGAGGATGACTGAAGTACAAGACAGAAAACTGCGCAAGTGATAGAGATCAGCCCCCAGCTACTAATCACCTAAAAGTGTAGTAATTCGGGGGAAGCGAGACTGATAGGGTCTAGGGTTTAGGGTTTCTTTTCCCCACCCGCTTCGCTGACTAGGTCGCACTGCATTTAGGGTTTAGGGTTTAGGGACAGCTGCATGTGGCCAGGAGGCCCAGGCATGACCATCTTGTCGACCAGATTCGGTGACACACATCGTCACATCTCTCTCACTTATCCCATACCTGGCACCAGGCATGGCGAATCAAGCATCCTCTGCTGCAGATGAACGGCTCACCCCTTTTGAACCCAGTTTCTGATCATTAGCTGGGAGTCGGCTCACCTAAACCCTAAACCCTAGACTCTAAACCCTAATCTCTAAACCCCTCAAGGGACTCTTGCTACTTCGTCCCCACCTGTTCAGGGTTCAGTCTTCCAAACTACATTGTTCCAGACAGTATTCCCGGAAACCATAAATCCTAAACTAAACCCCACACTCTAAACCCTAAACTGCCCGGCGGCTCGTGCAAGAACTGCGCGACTTCCGGCGGCCCGGCAGACCAAGGCAGCCCCCGCAAGCGGAGCACGTCCCCGCCTTCCCACAGAGGACAGGAGGCTGGCGGGCTTACCCTAAACCCTAATCCCCAAACCCTAAACTAGGCCCTAAGCTTACGCTCTCGCAACTCGGACTGGCCAGGCGAGGTCTCTGGGTGCATAGTCGGACTAAGTGGCACGCCTCGGTGGTGATGCTTGGCGGGGCTTTTTCCCACCCGCCCAGGCTTGGCAGGTTTCGGGTTTAGGGTAAGAAGCTCCTTTTTGCAGGTCGAGTGTACAAACGAAATCTGCACATGCAACAAAAATGAAAAAGGAGTTTGAGGCGCTCTGACGACGAACAAGAGAACGTGCTCTCGTGGGCTGTGCACTCCTACGTGCTGCAGCAATGCGTGATTGCACAGCTCGCGTCACAGGCCCCTTGGTCCCTTTATTTTTAGCTCAGCCGACAATTCCAAATAGTGATCTGTGGATGGCATCGTTGATCCGCGACTGGACGCCAAACTGGGGTCCCCTGCTCCCGATGACAGCTACAAGCTCTACCAAGACCACGCGAGAAAACGACCAGGAACTGTGGAAGGGCATGTCCACCAAAGCCGACGACCAACCCAGCTGGAGTTGCGCGAGGGCAATCCCCGAATCTCTGGAAGCAAAGAGGATTGGTTCCAATTCGCTCCTCTGACTACGGCTACACAAGCCCCTCAAACTGGAGCAGGGCGCCTTGAGGTGCCAACGGTGCCTTTTTCCTGTCCACCTTGTCGCCTCTCTCCCCCTTGTTATCCTTCTCCTTGACCACCTGAATAGTCGGGACTGACCAGGCCCGAATTGACCGCCGTAACCCCCGCAGACTGCTCCGGGCGCTGTCAGGGTGCCATGGCTTGCGCTTCCTTCAGCTGCTGAGAGAGATCTGGAGCTGATGCAGATGGCGGTAGAGCAAAGGACGGGAAAGCGATGCCTCGGCCGACGAAACTCAAGAGAAGCGGAAATGCACAACTGGCCTATGCTCGGTTGGGACCCCTGGCCCCTGGCCTGCCCATGCGGAGGCGTCGAAGCCAGGCATAGCTGACATCCTTGGCTCAACAAGCTCCCCGCAGCTTCGGGATGCCCCTGCGCTTCCGAGTGGCAGCGATGCGGCGGCCATGTCAAAGGCCGCGGTGCCGGGCATAGCCTGGGTCAACGCGCTCGGGATGCCTCGGCCGAGCATCGGTCCGTTAGCTAACCAGAATTCTACTTTCAGAACGGCATGCGAACCAGCTGCCAGGAATGGCATCAGCAGCTCCTTGCAGTGGAACTGCGCCAGGTGCGCCGACCGCAGCAGGATCCAGCTCATTCCTGGGAATCGATGTCGCTGCAAGTCCCAAAGATAACACTCGAGTGCTCTGGCTGCATCTGGGGGATCATATGGCGCGGTGCAAACCCAAGTGATGCCGGGCGCAGTGGCGGCCGCTTCAAGGCTCTGCACAGAACGAAGCGGCAACTGGTTGTGGCAGTACCAGCTGGACCGGGTGATGTGCCAATTCACTACACAGCTTAGTATGCGTGCGTGAGTGTGTGACTGTCATGCAGCTTGCAGCTTGCTGTAGAACTCCAGATCTAAGGCTTGCAGAATGTTGTGCTGCTCGTTCTAGTCACTCTAGTCATTCTAGTCGTTCAAGCCGAGCCATGACATGAAAGCTACAACTATGTAAGAACCGAACAGAAACGGCTGCAGAATCAAGATCGGACCAGGATGGCCGGGATGCACACAATGCACAAAACAGGAGGCAGCAGAGCTCAACATAGTCACTGCCACAGGCCAGTTGCACTGGCGCGTTTCCTGGCAAGCGCTTTGCCTCGGAATTTCAGACAGCACCCCTCAAGCTACAACCTCTTCTGATACCTGTCTTCACTTGCCGTGACTCCTTAAGATCCAAGTACCCGGCCGAGATTCGCTTCACGGCCAGAGTTGTCTTGGCATTGCCTGCAGTGCCAAGCAAAGCACAGGAAACGAAGATCTAATATATGATATCTAATATCCAATATATACTATCTAATATCTACTATCCAATATATAACATATAATATATACTATATATATGCATATATAATATGCAATGTAAAAGGTCATCTCCCCTCCCTCAGAGTCCGAGAAAACAACCGGGCTCCCTGCTAAGCTGCCGGCTTGCCGCCTGCCAGGGTCCAGCAGCCAAGATGTTTTAAGGGGGACTCTCACACTCGCACGAGGCAGGCAAGGCTCCACCAATCCGAGTTCAGGTAAGCTGTGGCTGAGCAGATATCCCCTCCCAACACCCCAACAAACATGACTTCAACAAACACTTTTTAGGGTTTACGCTCTCACAACTTGGACAAGCCAGGCGAGGTTCATTGTGCGAGGTCGATCTGAAAACAGGAATCAAGGGTTTAGGGTTTGGCCTGCGCTGTGGCATTCATCGCCTTGGGCTTCCAGAGCAAGTCCACCCAGGATCAGCCGCAAAGCCCTGATCTCCGGGCACCCTGCTGCAAGAGCTTCCTCCAGGGGCGACGCCGCCGCCTCCTCTCCGTCCTGTCTGCAATCCACTGCTGCATACACTTTCCACTGTTCTGGAGGTTGTCTTGGGCATCGCACATCATAAGTTCCGCAGACATCTGCAAAGACACCAACCATTTTGCAGCTATCCTCTTCAGCTTTGATCTCTTCCTCTTTCACTTTCTCTTCTTCCTTGGCGTCGTCGGCTTCAGTCTTCTGCTCCTCTGCCTTGCCATCATCTGCCTTGCCATCATCAGCCGTCTTTTCACCTGGTCGCAGGAAAGAGAGCTGTCCACGCGCCCTTCATAGCACGGATACTGCTAGGGAGCAGGCCGGATGATTTGCCTGGCTTCTTGTCCTCCGCACTACAAGCTTGCATCTCCCTGTCCCTAAATGTCCTTAAGCCTAAACCGGCGAACCGAAACTGTCCTCACCGGCCATGAGCTCCTGGAGTGGAACTGCCAATTCCGCAGCAGCTTCCACTGCCTTCTCGGCCTCCAGAACCTCCGGAGCTACAACTTGAGAATGCACAGAAGTAGCATCCTACAATCCAGGCCTCTTTGCAAGGGCCACTAACTTCTGTGGCTCCAGCCAACTATCTGAAATCCGAAATTTTCACTTCCATGAAGCCAAGCCCGGCCTTCTTGTCAGCATCACCCAGAAGTTGCAAAATACCCCGTTTTTCTGCGGCGCGTTCCACCGAAGCCGAAACCACATCCAGCCTGAGCTTAGCTGGGCTATCTCATGGATCCTTTGCTTGGCCAAGGACCGTCTTCGAGACTCGGACCGTGTCCTGGCCACCTCGATGCGTTCGCGCAGGTCGGCCGCTTCCTGTGCATACGCTGGGAAGTCGACATGCATTTTCTTGTTGCGGGCTCCATGGTTTTGCCCGGTGCATGGCCGCTATGCTTGTATGTAGCAGCCATGCAGGTAAAACAACCACCAGTTCGATTCCGCAAAGGCGGCATAATCCGATGAAGCACGCATGCCGGACACACATCACTTACGAGACCTACTTAGGGTACAGCCCCTAGGTAGCCGTGTGCGAAAACAAATCACTCGGACGTGATACTGTGCGAATCAGACGTGGGATCACACGGACTCGGATGCGATCACATTCAGCTCATGCCATATTCCCAGGACTGCGGGTTGCCCCTCCAGCGGCAGGAATTCGACATGCAACGGAGCACTAAACCAGTAACTCCAACACGGCCTCATCGTGCTGCTGAGCTGTGTTGTTTTGACTGCGGTGTCCTGCCTTGCGTTACATGATGTGTTGTGCCATTTATGCTTCGTATCTTTCCTGCTTTCTAATTTTTTCCTGTTGACCCTGGTTGCATGCATCTCGGCCTCCTGGGATCCTTCTCACTCCCTCCCTTTTTTTCCTTCCTTTCCTCCTTCCGCAATTCCTTCCCTGCTGATTTCTCCCTTTCCTCCCGTCCTGTTTGCCTTCCTACCCCGCCGGCAGTCGGCTAGGAAAAGCCAAGACCGAAACATTGCGAAAGAGAGGTCGGAAGAGGTGTGGGCTGGAAGCCTGCGGCGCCCGAGAAAACAGGATTCCTGAACAAGGTGTCGAAAGGGAGTTGCGGGCTGACAGCCCCCAGTGCTGGAAAAAGTCAACTAGTTTCAACAGAAGAGCCGCAAGGCCTGCACAAGCCAGGAAGGTCTCGGAAGCAGGTGCGGGCTCGAGGCAATCCCGAAATAAGGGTTGGAAGGCGGTGCAGGCTGGCAGTGGAAAAAGTGCGGGCTAGCAGCCTGCAGCAATAGAAGAAGTCGCATCAAGATTCCCGAAAGAAAAGCTTGGAAGGAGGTGCGGGCTGGCCGCCCGCAGCACGGGGAGAAGCCAAGAGACCCGAAAGAAGGGCTGGAAGGAGGTGCGGGCTGGCAGCCCG